GTAGAAATACACTCATAGCACCACACTAGGGAAACCCTGTATCGCGGGTGCCATGTACACATACATAGGCAACCACAAATTACACCCAACTCACGAGAGAAATAAATGTAGGTCATAGAAATATTTTTCCCGGCCTGGGAATCGAACCCGGAATTGAAACTGCGTGGCCTGGTAACCGTTCGCCCACGGGGATACTTTGACAGTCAATTAAAAGCCATGGCTAAAGCAATCGGCCGTCAGATGGCGTTGATAGTAGTTTTCACATTACACACTCACCAACTAACAAAATGCAAGCGGAGAGCGGGCAAAGTACGACAGCACATATTATTGCAGCAATCGGTTGCAGAATTCCCAGTATGGCGATCTGCCAGATTAATACTTCTAGCAAGACGAAGAATCTGAAAACAGTAGTATGTAAATTAGGAATTTTTCATAAAATAAATTAAAAAAAATTGTAATGTAAATAAACTGCACAAGGAAATTAACAGATTTTCCTAAAGACTCAAGATGAAGCAGTACGGTCTTTGAGCCTAGTCTGTAGACTTTGTGCCTGCTCAGTCGTTAAAGTGAGCGATCTGATCTAGTTCAATCGATTTACTGAATTAGTTCGGTCTTCAAGTTCTTTTAGTTCATCAACTCCTTCATCGTACATTAAACGGACGATCCTAACTAAAACTTTTATTCAAATGAACTACTTCGGACTTTTAGTACGTATTATTATTAGTTCTTTACCAAATAGTTATGCACTTGACTAAATATTTAAAAGTACAATTTTGTATGGAAACGGTACTATTTAATTAACCCTATAAATACAACTCATTGTTGAGTGTTACGTATTACGTAGTTAAACTGACAATGTTCAGTCGAGCATTTCATTCACACTGGTTCTAAAAGCAGTGAACGAACACTAATTGTCCTGTTTGCACAGTTCCTACTGAAATAAGGTGAACTTTAAGATCGCTTCGCGTCTTTAGCTCTGCAATGAAGAAAATACCTTACTTCTACTGAATTAGAAAGACCCGTGAACTATTAAAATCGTGCAAGTGGAACTAGTTCATTTCGGTCAGTGTCGGGATTTTTTCCTAACAGTTCGTAGTTCAAGAACTACTCAAGCCCACTAATCTGTCCTTGTTAGATGACGAAATAAAACTAAACGAAGTAAACATATAAAAACTATGTATACATTACATCTAAGAAACTAACCTATTAAGCTTAGAAGGGTCGGGACAGTCCAGATCGTAAATAAGTGCATTAGTAGCGTGTACAGTCAAAGTTAACAGCGGCATCCACACAGGTACAGTCGCCGCTGCGGCTAGCGACAGTCCACTACCGAGCAGAGCAACGATCGGAAACAGCAAGAGTAGACAGAGGGAGCCGAGGCCTCCCACTACGCCGTAGTTCCAGAGGCGATTGGCTTGACGGCTTAGACCTTTACCTAGGAGACCTGCAGTTCAAGTAAATGAGTTGTTCATATCTTATATTACAACACCAATGAAAGTAACTATAGTCTGTCTTTTTTGAAGATGGAGTAAAATTACAGTTTATTGTGCAAAAGTGTTGCTCGCTTAGAAGCAGCTAGGTTATTTAAAATTTTACGAAAACTGGCAACCCTGCTAATGTCATTTTACTCCAGCTTCAAAAAAGACAGACTATAACTGTTGATTATGAAACGTTGACATGAAATTATTAAGTGCATCTATGTATGTATAATGTAATAATGATGTATAATACTTAATAGTTTGACATTGATAGTTATTATTTTGTTGTTATTAATTGATTGATTATTCCTTGTGCATTTCCAATGATAGTGTTATAATTAATTTAAATTTAAGCAAAATTTTGCGTGTCTAGTCAGGTAAAATATTATAGTGTGTTCCATCTTTCGTTCACCATGTTTTAAGCAAATAAAATTTCATTTAAACAATTTTGACGATAGAGAGGTGGTAACCCGGTGCCAGAATAGTTGCTTTTCATTTACGAGAATTAAAGCTATAGTGAAACAAAACTAGAGGTTATTATGCAACTTCTGCATACTTGAATTTTTTTTTATAATATCAAGTGACGGGACGAACAAGTCGTGCGCCTGATGGTAAGCTACACGCCTACCCATAACAGTTGCAGTGTCACTCAGAGCTTTAAATCGCAAAGATCTGAGGGGCACTGCCACTGCGCCCGTCACCCTGAGACATAAGTTGACAAGTCCCATGTGCCTGTAATTTCATAAATCAATTGTACGGTGCAATACCGTACATAGTGTTAATGCAGCATTTCACGTATCCATGCGACACTTAGTTATATATAATGTGAATAGCTTCAAAAGTTTGTGGAATTACATCTATTTGCCAAATTTTAATCGGTTACCGGAAAGTGCGCGAAACCAGATTATGAAAACTTATAGAGGTGGAATATCTTCTTCAAACCGAAATGGGGCCAACTCTGAGGTATCCACTTTCCAACAAAAAAGAAGCGGTAACACACTTACAAAAAAAAACACAGTCGAATTGAGATCCTCCTCCTTTTTTTGAAGTCGTTTAAAAAATTACTGTTAATGACTTTAATATAATAATTACCAGTTAATGACTTTAATATAATAATTACCAGTTAATGACTTTAATATAATAATTACCAGTTAATGATTTTAATATAATAATTACCAGTTAATGACTTCAATATAATAATTACCAGTATCGGGTTCTGTTTCGAATCTCGTCCTCTCCTTGGAGACGTGGCGCCAGAGTTTCAGTAGCCGCGACCACATAGTCTGCGTCTCGCTGCTCCGTTTGGGGAACAGTGTTCCATTAACCTGTTACAACAGATTTAGTCATCACCGTACTGCCCTCTTCGTCACACCTAACGCATTTATATTTAGGTATCTTGTGAGATATTGGTACTTAATGTTTTTTCTTTGAAAAATGTCAAATAAGCTGATTTGATTTTAGACTTTGAAAAAATCTATATAACGATTCATGTGTGTGGTAAATATCTAATAACCGGCTTGAAATCTTAGACCTAGAATGATAGCGTGTGTTAATTCTTCTTCTTATTTTCATGAACATGGCGGGCTGTAGCAGAATATCAGCGGCGTTGTGAAACAATCCGCCATTGTGCTGAGCTACAGACCTTTTTATCTCGCACCACTATTTTATGTTATTAAACACTGTGTAGAACTTTATATCTTTATTTCTACTTATTAATGTGTGGAGATAAATAAACGATTTTATTATTATTATTTTACTTAACAATAAAAGGATTTTAATAAACGTTTTCTTGAGGTATTGTTTTTCTAAAGGGTTCATGGTCAATACTATGTCGTTCATTGTAAAAGTGAATTATGTCTTTGTAATTAAATTTTGAAATAATTAGCTTTTAGCAAATTAATGTGTAGTAATTTTAGTTCACTGAGTAAACTAGTAATGCCAATGTCCCCCCATGATGGAAAGAGGAAGGCGGATGCCCCAAGATACCTGACCCCCTAGCCGACCTTTTGGTGCTGACAGTCATCTTACGCATTCAACAGAAAAATGTTTACGTCATTATAAGAATAATATTGTCTGATGTCAATCATAATGATATAATCATTAGTAAATATATTATCTCATATCAATTTATAGTCAAGTAGTACTAATATTTAGGTCCGTAAATAGACCTAAGGATCTTTGGATATGGTGCATTCACCTGGGAGAGCTCGTAGTCGGGCACGAAAGGTTTCACGGCCAGCAATGTACGAAGTGCCAGCGGCGAGCACCACGGCACCACCACTCCCAGCACGAACATCATGTTCCAGCTCCAGCACCACGTCCTAAGGACAACGATAACGTTAAACGGGCAAAAACTGACGCCATTGACAACGTTAGTCGCCTCACATCTTTCTCACACAGCTGCCAATCGGCCCGTGCGCAACACATTTGTCCGAGTTTGCGTGAAAATCTATCCACAACTGCGTGTGAACAAGAAATTTAGTAGCAGTAGGGCTTCTTGTGAAAGAATTGGTCAGTGACAGACGCAGTGGCAGTGTCCCACAGATCTATACGAGGTCTACAGACCGAACCCGACGACACAGCGGCTTGGTCTCTGAGGCCTTATTTCTAATCTAATCATATGACATGATTTTAGAAACAAGGCCGCCGACATCATCCCGCTCGTGTTGGCGGGTTCGATCTGTTGACCTCTTATGCGATTTAAAGCTCTGAGTGGGACTGCAGGCGCACGACTTGTTCGTTCTGTCATCTGTCGTCTGTGTATCGTAACAAAAAACCTCTAATAAATGGTGTTTCGTTTTTCATGATATAAAGCGACAGGACGAACAAGTTGTGCGCCTGGTGGTGAGCGACACGCTTACCTCTAACTTATAGTGCCACTCAGAGCTTTAAATCGCAAAGACCTGAAGAGCACTGACAATGCGCCCGTCACCCTGGACAACTTCCTTATGCCTCTAATTTCACCAGCACCCTTTCCCTTCAAAAGCTAACAATTACTGCTTGGCGGCATAATATGATATAGGTAAGGTGGCAATACTTCCCGGAAACTCTTTCACAAGGAGCGTTACAGCAACTAAATGCTGTTGTGTTGCTGATGACGTCATCAGACACTATAAGGTTTGACTTATGCGAGTTCAGTTTAACAATGCAACATTAGCCAATGGAATCAAAGGAATTGACAGATAATTTGGGAGAAACGACTACAGTAAGTTGATGGCGCGTTGTAAACCAATCTGTAGTATCGACAGATCAATGTTATTGCAAAAATAAATTATATTTTACAAAAGTACGTAGTAGTGTATTGCTGAACAACCTTCGAAACGTGAAGAAGTAGCTGTTTATGTAAACAAACCTGTGCGCTAAATTGACAAGTCTCCATCCCGGCCATCTGGTGCTGGTATGCCTCACTATCTCCTTGTCGACCAAGAAGACAGGCTGCGAGGGATCAGACCTCGGAGTAACAATGGAAGTGGCCCTCGTCGACAGGACGGTCGGGATCCGTTCGGATCGACCGCGGAAGTGACGTACTACCTGCCAGTTCTGAGGCAGCCAGATGCGAGTTGACCATCGGAATTCACGAGTTGGCGTTTTTGCTGCTCGTAGCTCCTGTCAATGAACTTTTATTTTTAATAAAATGGACTTGCTCTTGACCACTACCTAGCACTGGAGCAAAAATACGATCTACGATGGAACGAGCTCGCCCAGAAGTTGCCTATTCAGTCGTACCATAAAGCAGACTTGCGCTTTGTACAAAGTTAAAGGCTGTCTAGGCGAGAAATATCGCTTAACCATATTAAGGAGGTTTGATGATTGATCAACCTGACTGATGACGAATTTATAAGTACTAATCGGACTTGGCCGTAAGGTTTCAGAAAGTCAATAACCTTTTTTAACCGATTTAAAAAAAGGGGGTTCTCAATTGTACTGTATTTTTTTGTGTGTATGTTACTCGATTACTCGGCATTTGTGAACCGATTTTGATGATACTTCTTTGTTGGAACGAAGGTCCATCAGTATTGGATCCATTTAAATTTGAAGAAAACATTAAAAAAATATATGAGGTCGGTCTTTTTCAGCGTTTTTTTTTATAATGCCAAGTGATGGGGCGAAGATGTCGTGCACCTGGTAGTCAGCGACGCGCCTATCCATAAAAGTTGCAGTGCCACTCAGAGCTTTAAATCGCAAAGATCTTTGGGTCACTACCACTGCGCCTGTCACCCTGAGACAAGTTGACAAGTCCCATGTGCCCATAATTTCACCAGCACTCATTATTGCTTGGCGGCAGAAATAGGTAAGATAGCAGTACTTCCCTAGACGAACTCTTTCACAAGTTCTACTACTGTTGTGTAGGGCGAAGAATCTTGTCTTCTTCTTATGGAACCGATGGCGTACATCGTAATACTTGTCAAAAGGACTTGCTAATGGGCGTACGGTATTCGCTGATTATTGCCCAGGTTGCGCCAGGCCTCACCCCGGACACTCCATACAACAGTCGAAAATTATTTACCTACTACTACATACAGCAAGGCGCTATCTGCACACGCGCAAATTTGTGCTTGAAATGGCAGGGTTACCCTTCACTTTCTCGCACTATTACGTTACGTGGTCAGAGCGGCAACATAGCGAAAATTCTAACGCGAATTAATTATCTATGATTCTATTCATAGAATCCTAATAATTATACATGTCTATTAGGTATTTATATTGATATACTATTATATTTTTCATTCATTCACTAACTAGAGTAATATTGAAGATTTATTTCACAAATATATTAAAAGCACTTAAAATGTTATATTTCGAACATGTACTTTTAAGTAAGGTAACCAAGGTATTTGAAATTGCTTGTCCAAGTTTAGTTAATAATTAGATATATTCACTACGTAATATAGATCGGCAATACGAATGAAAAAACTCGCGAAGTCATGGCGTCTCAGTATATTGATATAATAAATTTGTATTTTTTATAAATACGTATATTACTCTGCAGTAAATAAATGAAGGAAACGATAACTGAATGAGTCTCAGACATAAGTTTTTTTTTTTACTTACTTCGTTTCATCTTTCGGAAAATGATAATAAACAGCCGTACACAGCACAATTCACGACCATTATAAATAGTAACGATAAATGATGTTTCATATTAACGTACAAGTTTCGTAATGAATAAATGAAAACTATATTCAAATATCAAAGCCGTCTTCGCGCGAAAACAGTTCGCCGGCAGCCTTGTTGTCGTTCAGTCAATGTGACGGCAATGTACGAGGCGTGGTGCAGTATCTAAAACTAGGGAGGGGCGGAGAGTGTCCGTTCTCTTATTCTTTATTCTCTGGCCAGGAGTACAGGAAAGGATTAATAATAACGTACACACTTAACATAGGCCCACACTAGGGAAACTTTGTGGCTCAGGTGCCATGGACACACGCGTAGACAACCACAAATTACATTCAAACTCATGAGAGAAATAAATGTAGGCCATTCAAATATTTCTCCCGGCCCGGGAATCGAACCTGGAACCTGTTACCTGAACCATGGTAACCGTTCGGCCACGGAGACAGTTAAATGGTAGGAAATTAGGAATGGTAATTTGTGCGGGGAGGCTCCTTTCGTGCACCCCGTTAATCTCATTACATTTTTTATTTTGACTGAGACTGTATTATTATTGTGATTTTTTGTGAAACTTTCACTAGTTTTTATCATGATTGCACCGTAATATTGCTCTAACCAACTGAGCTACGGGTCAATTAACGAGTAGTCGAAATTCAGATCTTTCTTGTACTGCATTTAATGTTTTGTCGGCATTCTACGCAACCAGCACCTGACTGAGACTTTTTTTTTGCTCCATTCCAGGAAGCATTAATTGTGGAGTGAAGAACCTAGTGAACTTACCTTCATAAGTAAAGGTTCCCGATCCCTCAAAAAGGCGAGATCTCGCAGAAGGAAATACCGATGTTGGTTCAGCTTGTGCATTTGCATGGCAGAGGCGGCGTCTTCAATGGGTGCCCAGCGGAGTTCGCTCTTCAACTTCTGAGCGGCGATGGCCAGTTTCTCCTTGCGCCAGGCGTGGGCGCGGGACAGAATTGGGTGTTTCGCGCATATGCGGGCCTCTGCTGTGGCCAGGCCTGCTTCCAGCTTGCGACAGACGCCTTCTTCCGCTCTGGAATTTATTTTAAGTGCATCATTTCTCATGTCTCATAAAACCATCATTCACAGACTAATGTTCACTACCTAATTTTCGAGGCAATTTTTATTATTCAAATATTGAAATACATTCTCGTGTAATTATTAAATAATATTGCACGATAAAAAATCAAATAGTTAAATAATAAACATTGCCACGGAAATTAGGTAGCGAACACTAGTCCGAGAATGACCGAAAATTGATCTCACAAAATGACGACCTCAGTGGCGTAACGATTTACAGTGTGGACGTTAGATGTGGAAGTCTCTTTCTTCTATATTTATGTAAAAGCGCTGGTTTTGAATCAAGCCGAATTGAAGGAATTTTTCTTAGTGTTCGACCTTTGAATTAATAATTATACATATATTATTAATAATCAATTTCATAAAAAATATATATATTGGACTAAATTGAACGTAAGAGCCTATGCACACTGCGCCGACGACGCGCAGATGATGCGGTTGACACGATTCAAACGTGATGCAGTTCGCAGCGAGTAAACCTCTACGCACACGTTCATAAATTCAGTGGCGACGTAAACGTCGTAAATTTGTGAACATCTACACGAACTACAGCGCGTATGTATGTGTATACAATTTTAGTTTTCTTTGTTAATTTCAGTTTTTATTAGCTTTTTAAATGAAGCAACGAAAAAATATGCAAGCACGCATACTGTGTCTTTTTAAACGTATGCAGAAATAGATTTAAGGGACACCACTTAGCAACTGAGTATGTTATTACTATTAGTTTTTGGGTGTTTATTTGCAAACATTGACTAGAAGAATGTGTGAAAAGGATAAAATCACAGGAAAAGTTGTCTTCAACATGAAATTCTAAGTATCAACTCCAGTGGAGTATATAAGCTTCTTGCTTGCAACGCGATACAGACAGAGCTTCTCGCGCGCGAGTGTATCGCGTTTTACGTCTTTTCGACCGTAAACATAAAATACGCCTTGTGTATAGGCTCTAAACTGCCTCTGTGGCCGAACGGTTACCATGCCGGACTGCCACGCAGAGGTCCCAGGTTCGATTCCTGGGCCGGGAGAAATGTTTTTATGGCCTACATTTATTTCTCTAGTGAGTTTGGGTGTAATTTGTGGTTGTCTATGAATGCGTTCAAGGCACTCGCGATACAGGATTTCCCTAGTGCGGGGATATGTTGAGTGTGTGCGTTATTAAAAAAAAAATTCCTAAAAAACATTACGCAACGCTCAAAACAAAAGAAAAGGACGCGCATAGAAGGTGTATGCGCACGTATTGATGCGAGATACACAATAGCCGATTCGATTTATAGATTCTATGGTGTAAATCTCTATGGATAAATATTCCGTTTTACGCATCAAGTAGTTGGCGTAATTTATTTTTATCTTTATCATTTCAGTTTCCATCTACTTTATATACTGTAATTTTAACTTAATACTACGATTGAAACAAATATTGTTTGGTTTTGGTCTGTTGTAACAAATTTACTATTTGTTTTTGGAACCTTATTAAGAGTAATTAAAAATAGTGTAATTGGTGTAATTTGTGGTTGTCTATGTGTGTGTCCATGGCACCCGCGACACAGGGTTTCCCTAGTGCGGGGACACGAGTGTGCGTCTGTTATTACTATGTACCTGTTGACGATGGCGGCGGCGCGCAGCTGCTGCGCGAGCAGCGCCGGCACGTCGGGCCCCAGCGCGCGCAGCGGCTCGCTGGCCAGCACGGCGGCGCACACGCGCGACACGTACTCGCGCATCGCCGCGCCGCGGACCTCCTGCACGGAACGGGCCTTCAGCCACTCTCGTGGGTCTCGCACCCACCCACCAACCCCAACGGCCACAAGCAACATTTTTGGGAAACTGTTTCATTTGAAAACAAGAGCATACATAGCGACTCACGGCTACTGTTTTCCGAAAAATTTCAAATAGTGGACAATTTATCCGGAAAAAATCTCGAAAAATTGGAATAACTAGAAAAATATTATTTCGAAGGCTCATATTATGTTCTACGTTTAAATGTCTTTTTAAGTTTTGTTTAGCGTGAATTATAAAATAAATTCGTGTAGCTCATAACAGCGAAAAAAAAACTTTTTTTAATGGCTCCATCGTTTTGGTTCAATTTTTGACAGGTGTCAACGTCAGATGTGGAAGATGAAATTATTTTTCTGAAAAATTAGATTAATTTCAAAATGGAAATTTTCCATTATCCAACGCTACCCACGTCTACGCGACACGGAGGGAAAGTACTTTAAATATTGTAATTAAGATGTTTGGCTTTATCCTCTGTGTTCCATAAACGACACGCCCTGTATATTAATTTTTAACCGACTTCAAAAAAGGAGGAGGTTCTCAATTCGACTGTATGTTCTTTTTTTTTTGTATGTATGTTACGCGATAACTCCGGTATTTGTGAACCGATTTTCATGATTCTTTTTTTGTTGGAAAGGGGGTATTTCCATAGTGGTCCCATTTTATTTTGAAGAAAATCAACCACCTCAAAGGGTGGCTGTTCACGCATGAAGATTCATTTTTATAAATAGCGCCTGACTTTAATTTAGGAGCAATTACTTTTAGCAATTATTTAGTTGATTTTGCTATTTCTCCAATTCAAGGCGTATTTCCCTCGATATACTTTGAGTAGTGTCGTAGTGAGAACCTATTTTTATTATCTCCAGTATCAAGTCCTGTATAGTGGCGAACTAGAGGATATTTCAATGAAACTTAGCAAATAGATGTAATTCCACGTACTTTTGAGGTCGGTTTTTTTAGTACTCTGTACTGACATTATAATTGTACTTTTTTTCTAAAATTTCATTTGTCGGTTTCCCAAATTCTTTTTAACATTTGGTCACTTTATAATTCAGGGTGCGATTTAAACTGCGGTGCGGCGTAAACTTAAAAAAAATGCCAATAGGCCAAATTTGAAAATGGTTGCTTTACAATAAGGAGCTCTGCGGTCCGAATTTTTGTGACAGCATACACCTATGCATTTTTATTTCTTATTTACGTACGTTTGTGAATCTTTAGTTGCAATACCACTCACGAACGGTGAAAAAAACACCGTCGAAATCGTATGGCGGGCTATAGTGTAACCCTTATTAGAAAAAAAAAAAATCATTGAAAGTAAATATGAAACATGGACAAATGTTGTTGTATATGATGTTAGTAATATAGTCCTGCCAGGTTGTTAGTATTGAAAAAATAACCTTGTATTTATAACTATTTTGTTTTGAAAATGAAAAACTATTTTTATAAATCGGATGTATGTGTAGAGCAATCACAAAAGCCTAGGAACTCGATATTTCGTTTTGAATTTCCTGTTTTCATTTATAATCATTCCGTGATTTCAGAGGGAGGGATGATCCGCTCCATATATATTACTTCGTTTAGTTAAATATATTCTATCTATTCCAATCTCTCCTAATTGGATATGAATTCTTGTTGTCCGAAACAAACGTATAATGCAATCTCAAGAATCAACACTTTGTAGTGTTTTCAGAGCAATTTCAATTTATTTATTAACATTGTTACAAGAAAATGTCACATTTGACAAGTCAAAATATTATAAAAATGATTGAAAATACCTAATTCCTACAATTTCATTAATAAAATTTATTCAAACAAATTATTAAAAAATAATATAAAAACAATGTAATTGTCATTTAAAACGCTAGAATAATATAAAACAAAATGCATTAACATACCAATAATATAACAAAATTCAGTCTTGTGTTCATAAATGTCGAAGGTAAATATATTGTAAAAATCCTTCAAATAATTATAAAAATTGCCCTTCATACAGAGAGAATTCTAGGAATTCCTTAATTTTGTAAATTTCGTGCAACTGAGTGGATTGTGAGGGTGAGAAGGTACCTCTTCGATGTCCTTGAGAGGCATTTTCTGGCTGGCGAGCAGCGCGGCGCGCCGCTCTCGGAAGTGCAGGAACCAGCCGCGCGACTCGCGTTCCAGTATGGCTTGTAGGTGCGACGCGGCCTTGCGCAGGATGTCGCGCCGGTACAGACGGAGATCCACCTGTAGTATGCAATAATCTGTTACCGCTTTTCGAACGTTATTCAATTGATTGTAATATTCAGTTTATTGTACATTACGATGTTTTACTACCATTTGATTATTATTTTTTAATTACTGCAGCAGTTTGTTATAATTATTAACACAAAGATGTAACACTAAAAAAACCTGGCTGAGTGAAGAAAAAAGTTGTTAGAAACCAAAAACAAATAGCTGTAACAAGCACATAGAATAATTCAGAAAAATAAAAAAAAAGAGTGTCAGGTGCGGTATAGTGAAAGCACTGGTTCGAATGCAACCGGATCGAAAGAATTTTTCTCAGTGTTCGTGCAGTGCCCCTCAGATCTTCGTGATTTAAAGCTCTGTGTCTTGTCTTGTCACCAGGTGCACGATTTTATTTTATTTATTTTTATTTTTTATTTTATTCAATGAACAAAGTTTCAACAGCATTCTTATACTTATTTGACAAATGTGTTTAAGCAGTACAAAAGCCAATTACAGAAACTCACTATGTATACAAAACATGTGATATTATTATTACAACATTGGGTAGAAAAATAAATTTAAATTGGTACAATAAGAACTGAGTTCACAATTAACTGTAAATTACTGATATCAATTGTCGTGTATAGGTCTGTGTAAGTATATGTGTGTGTATGTGTGTATGTGTGATGGAGCGTGAGTGTCTAGTTCGCCTCCCCCTATTTCCTCAGAGAATGTGCTAGGCAGGTAAAACTAACAATGAAAGAAACTGCTCGCATCGTTAGTGCTTGCAACTCGGCTTACATGGCGCACGAAATCGACGCAAATAAAACTGTTTAAGAAAAAAGTTAAATTAAAATTTAGATTTGTTCGCTACTTAGAATTATAAAAAAATTTAGAATATTTACGCTACATATTATACGAGTATGTATGTAGAATATTTTCCGATACCTCGACTGCATGAAGTTGATAACGATTTCACGCATTAAGTGCATGCAGTTGAAACCGACTTAATGCAGCTGAGATCGACTGCATGCAGTTGACGCGTGAAGTCGTTGTTAACTTCATGCAGTCGTGTTCTCGACTGCTCGTAGTTGATTACGACTTCGCGCATTAACTGCAAACATGCAGTCAATCTTTTACCAACCTAACCGAAGAGTGAGACATAGTGAATCACTCATTTTTTTAAAATTTGATTTCATTCGGAACGGTAACTCTATGAAGTACTTATACAGGAGAGCATCAGACATTTTGATATATTAATTAATAACGCTAGCGTAATTAGGAAACAACTGAATTTGTCGACGCCAAGTTTTATTTTATATATAACATCAAGTGACGAAGTGAGTAAGCTACACGTCTGTCCATGACAGTTACAGTGCCACTCAGAGCTTTAAATTGCAAAGATCTGAGAGGCACTGCCACTTCGTCCGTTGCCCTGAGACATAAGTTGACAAGTCCCATGGGCCTGTAATTTCACCAGCACCTTTACCCTTCAAAACCGGAACACAGTAATAATAACATTATTTCTTAGTATCAGTAGAGCTTCTTTTGAAGTGCCACATTACCTATTTTTGCCGCCAAGCAGTAATGTGAGCATTACTGCGTTCCGGGTTTGGTGAAATGACAAGCACATGGGACTTGTCAATTTATGTCACTCCCGGAAACCGTGGCTATAGTAAAATAACATTCTTCGCTTAAATTTTACTATAATAGGCGGGTCGGATCTTTGTATCTGGTTTTAAACGACTTTTTAGCCGTAGCGCTATCTATTGGAAATCTGTTAAAGTATTTAGTAAAAGTTTTTCAAATTTATTGTGGGCACGTAAGAAACAAATGGCAATTAAGTAGTTTCAGATAGAGAAGATCTGATTTTATTAGTAACTTTTTTCAATATCCCTAGGTTGTAATGTACTAAGCTCTACAGTGTTGCCCATATTCATAAAACCAGAACAAAAACTACTATTGGTTTAGTAGATTTTTTACTACTATTTAACTAAATGACTTAAGTCTCGATATTGAAGTCTCGAAAATGGCAAAAGAGTTTTCCGAAGTTTTCAATGCCGTGTGTCCTGGGATGAAAGCCCTAATTGGCATGCCGGGACCCTTTTTTAAGCCCCCGACAAATATAACAAAAAAAAAATACGTCACACCCCTCTTAATCTACTTTAGGTGATTAGTCTTTTTGACATAATCTCAATTCTGCCGTCCACCAACTAAAATGCGGCTAAACGACAAATAGTTAAATATCCCTTTTAAATAGCAAAAAATAGAGCACAAAATTCTGTTTCAAAAACAGTTAAAATTAGTTAACGCGTTCGACTTATCGGAACTTACCATAACGATGCATAACTGAAATATCTTTAAACAATTTCAATATTCCAAAACCGGGTAATGGTTTTTTATGATATCTCAAAAAATTATTTTGTCAATTAGCCCCGATTTAGTTAGCCGATGGCAGAATTGCACTGTACAGAGATAACGTCTCTTATCTTTTTTAGAAATATTATTTTCACAACTAATAAGTAATAATAATAATAACGCACACACTCAACATAGGGAAACCCTGCGTCACAGGTGCCATGGACACACACATAGACAACCACAAATTACACCCAAACTCACGAGAGAAATAAACGTAGGCCATACAAATATTTCTCCTGGCCCGGGAATCGAACCGGGGACCTTTGCGTGGCAGTCAATGTTACCAGTTCGGCCACGGAGGCAGTGAAACCACTAACAATTAATTGTAATTTTAATATTGCAGCGAGCAGTTCAAGCGTCTGTTACGGTATAAATGGCATATTGAAGGTTGTTCGCGTCTATACTTGTTATAGGTATACCTGCGTCCTTTGCGGTGTGGTGTAAACACAAGGTACTGGAGGCGCGTTGCGCGGGGCTTCGGTCTTCTCGGCTGCCGCCCGCCGCATAGCGCGGCTCACCCACGCCGCAAGAGCCACGATATCTTCGCGGTGTTCCGGCTAGGGATTCACATGAGGGTACGTAAAAGGTTTGTTAAATACGAGAGACTTAGAAAAAACCTCATAACAAAACAGAAAACTTATAACAAAATAAAAACCTTATAACAAAGTAAAAACCTTAAAGCAAAATAAAAACCTTATAACAAAATAAAAAACTTTATAAGTAAACAGAAATCTTATAAGAAACAGAAACCTTACAAAAAAGCAAAAAAACTTTGTAAAACTACTTTTTGTTTAAAGTTTACGTAAGTAAGTTAGGAATATCTGCACAGAATACGCCTGGATAGGTATTTCTACCAATTTCTATACTATATAACATCACACCTTTGTCCAGATGAAAGGGTAAGGACAGCTAGTGAGAGTGCAAGGTCTTATGCAGATTTGATTACCTCTGTGGCCCAGTGGTTGCATCTATAGGCGGTAGATGTGGATGACCCAGTTTCGATTCTCGAGAGGACCAACTTAGATAAACGAACTTTTATAAATTTGTTCTGTTCTGGGTTCTACGGGTAGCGACGTGAAGATATTTTTGTTGCTCTGATACTCATCAGTACGGGGAATTTCCTAGTTTTAAACCTGGTGATTGTTGTAATTTGGCACAATAGTATTATTATTATTATTAACTCTATCAAAAACAAACATAACAAATATATTCGTTAATAATAATATATTCTAGATTATATAGAGATAACCAGATTATAAATAAAATGGCGGTTAATGACAATAAAACGGATACCATACCTTACAAATAAGTTCAGCAACTAAATAACGCGATCGTTCTTCTCTGATTTTCTTTTCCAGATCTCTAGCTTCTAGGGACGGCATTCCGACGGCGAGGTCTACGAGTCTGAATAAATTATTTAATAATTAATTAAATAAAGTTCCGAACTATAGACTTCATGCAGCCGAGATCGACTGCATGTGGATAATGCACTTTCTATGTATGTTACTATATTATACTGTAGTCCTATATTTCCGTTATATATCATATTTCCAGTGGCAGTAGAGCTCCTAGTGAAAGAGTTCGTCCAGGGAAGTTCTGCCACCGTACCTATTTCTGCCGCCAAGCAGTAACGTGAACATTACTGCGTTCCGGTTTTGAAGAGTATAGGGTGTTGATGAAATCACAGGCACATGGGACTCGTCAACTTATGTCTCAGGGTGACGGGCGCAGTGGGAGTGCCCTTCAGACCTTTGCGATTTAAAGTTCTGAGTGGCACTGCAACTGTTATGGACAGGCATGTCGCTTTCCATCAGGCGCACGACTTGTTCGTTCTGTTCTTGGTATCATAAAACAAAACTATATGTTATATATTTTATCTACACACATATCATAATCTCTCATAATGCTCTCATAACGTGTTCAAAAACCGCAAATTACGACCAGATTAAAGATAAACTGTTTTGTTAGAATAAATTTCTTATCTGTGAAAATGTTATTATTGCTTCTTATAATCGAATTCGATGTTACATTAAAATTTCGAACATCTCTGAAAAACAAAACAATTGGATTCAACCTCAATTCTAATATCAGTCGAGATGTAGTTTTATTCGAAATGAAATGTCAATAGCA